CACCCTCCCCCAATAGGTACTAACACAACCACCCCCCCACAGGTACTAACACAACCACCCCCACAGGTACCAACACAACCACCCTCCCCCAATAGGTACTAACACAACCACCCTCCCCCATAGGTACTAACACAACCACCCTCCCCAATAGGTCTAACACAACCACCCTCCCCCAATAGGTACTAACACAACCACCCTCCCCCAATAGGTACTAACACAACCACCCTCCCCCAATAGGTAACACACAACCAATCTCCCCCCACAGGTACTAACACAACCACCCTCCCCCAATAGGTACCAACACAACCACCCTCTCCCACAGGTACCAACACAACCACCCCCAATAGGTACTAACACAACCACCCTCCCCAATAGGTACTAACACAACCACCCTCCCCAATAGGTACCACAACCACCTCCCCCAATAGGTACCTAACACAACCACCCCCAATAGGTACTAACACAACCACCCTCCCCAATAGGTACACACAAACACCTCCCCACAGGTACTAACACAACCACCCTCCCCCAGGTACTAACACAACCACCCCTCCCAATAGGTACTAACACAACCATCTCCCCCAATAGGTACTAACACAACCACCCTCCCCCAATAGGTACTAACACAACCACCCTCCCCCACAGTACTAACACAACCACCCCCCCAATAGGTACTAACACAACCACCCTCCCACAGGTACTAACACAACCACCCCCAATAGGTACTAACACAACCACCCTCCCCCATAGGTACTAACACAACCACCCCCAATAGGTGACTAACACAACCACCCTCCCCAATAGGTACTAACACAACCACCCTCTCCCATAGGTACTAACACAACCACCCTCCCCAATAGGTACTAACACAACCACCCTCCCCCATAGGTACTAACACAACCACCCTCCCCCAATAGGTACTAACACAACCACCCACCTCCATAGGTACTAACACAACCACACCCATAGGTACCAACACAACCACCCCATAGGTACCTAACACAACCACCTCCCCAATAGGTACTAACACAACCACCCCCTAATAGGTACTAACACAACCACCCTCCCCCAATAGGTACTCAACACAACCACCCTCCCCCAATAGGTACTAACACAACCACCCACCAATAGGTACTAACACAACCACCCACCTCCAATAGGTACTAACACAACCAACCTCTCCCAATAGGTACTAACACAACCACCCTCCCCCAATAGGTACTAACACAACCACCCCTCTCCCACATAGGTACTAACACAACCACCCTCCCCAAGGTACTAACACAACCACCTCCCCAATAGTACTAACACAAACCACCTCCCCAATAGGTACTAACACAACCACCCTCCCCCAATAGGTACTAACACAACCACCCTCCCCCTAATAGGTACTAACACAACCACCCCCATAGGTACTAACACAACCACCCTCCCCATAGGTACTAACACAACCACCCTCCCCCATAGGTACTAACACAACCACCCTCCCCAATAGGTACTAACACAACCACCCCCAATAGGTACTAACACAACCACCCCCAATAGGTACTAACACAACCACCCTCCCCCAATAGGTACTAACACAACCACCCCCAATAGGTACTAACACAACCACCCCCAATAGGTACCAACACAACCACCCTCCCCCATAGGTACTAACACAACCACCCTCCCCCAATAGTACTAACACAACCACCCCCTCCACAGGTACTAACACAACCACCCTCCCCCATAGGTACTAACACAACCACCCACCTCCATAGGTACCAACACAACCACCCTCCCCCAAGGTACTAACACAACCACCCACCCTCCAATAGGTACTAACACAACCACCCTCCCCCAATAGGTACTGACACAACCACCCACCCCCAATAGGTACTAACACAACCACCCACCTCCAATAGGTACTCAACACAACCACCCACCCCAATAGTACTAACACAAACCACCCCCAATAGGTACTAACACAACCACCACCCCCAATAGGTACTAACAAACCCACCTCCCCAAAGACCACCACAACCACCCACCTCCAATAGGTACTAACACAACCACCCTCCCCCAATAGGTACTAACACAACCACCCCCACCTCCCACCCCACTAGGTCTACTACCCTTCCACACACATCTTACCTGAACAATACTGGACAGGTAAAGAAGTGTGTCCTCAGTTTCAGGATAAGTCAAAGCCGCCCCTTCGCTCTCACAGGTTGACTGAGCCGTAAAGAGATCAAAGTCGGAGTTGGTGCTGGTGATGAGTTTGTAGCAACGGCCTCTGTACTCCGTGTAGTCATTTGGACAGTAACCTAGTAGGGATTAGATAAAGGTTAGGTGAGGTTAAGTTTGGTTGGGTTAGGGTAGTAGTGACTTTATTTGTTGATTTATTATCCACATAAAGTGTGTAATATGTTCAATGAGAGGGGAGGTAAACTACGTGAGAGGGAAGGTAAACTAAGTGAGAGGGGATGTAAACTAGGTGAAAGGGGAGGTAAACTAAGTGAGAGGGAAGGTAAACTAAGTGAGAGGATGTAAACTAAATGAGAGGGGGTGTAAACTAGGTGAGAGGGGATGTAAACAAAAAGAGAGGGGAGGTAATCTAAGTGAGAGGGAAGGTAAACTAAGTGAGAGGGAAGTAAACTAAGTGAGAGGGAAGGTAAACTAAGTGAGAGGGAAGGTAAACTAAGTGAGAGGGAAGGTAAACTAAGTGAGAGGGAAGGTAAACTAAGTGAAAGGGAAGGTAAACTAAGTGAGAGGGAAGGTAAGTGCTATTTATCCCCCGTAGACACACCATTAATGTCCCCTACACACACGCGCGCGCACTGCCACCTGTCCTGGAACAGGCTTACACTATTACCTGGCTCCTGTACAAGGAGTTACAGATAACCTGACATAAGAACAGACTAGTTACTTGGAACTTGACACAGGTAGAGCAGGTCTTCTCCAAAGCAGTCCTGAAGCACGGCCTCTCCCTTCTTGTTGACTGTGAGGCATTTGTTGTCGCCAGTGAACTGTAGTGGCAAAAATTAGAATCAGGAATTAGTTAAAAAGCAGGAATCAGTCAATACAATCAGGATGGAAAGAATCAGAGTCGGGAATCAGTCATTGCAATCAGGATGAAGAGAGACAATCAGAATCGAGATGTTGAAGAGGGACTCGAGAATCAACCAGATCTTGAAAGAAAAGGGTGACGCAGAGTGAAGAATCAGAACGGCGAAGAAATAGCAAGTCAGAATCAGACCAAAGATAAAAGTGGGAACCAGAAAATATAATCAGTCACAATCAAAGAATCTAAATCATAATTAGGAGAAAGGGAATCTTAATTTGAATTAGAACAGAAATTAGAGTCAAAATCAGATTAGAACATAAGAACATCAGTGATGACAATCAATACTACTGGCACAGCTGTGTGTGTGTGTGTGTGTGTGTGTGTGTGTGTGTGTGTGTGTGTGTGTGTGTGTGTGTGTGTGTGTGTGTGTGTGTGTGTGTGTGTGTTTATAGTATGAAGCACAGAAGGACAGGTGTCTCTCAGGTGTGCAGGAGAGACAATTAACCCCCTAGAATACTTGAACTTTTACACATGTTTAGGTAATTTTTACCACATCAACTTTACTTAACACAGATTTACACAACAGCTTAAAGACATCTTTATTGTTCATGAGTAAATTTGTGTTTTATGGCCTGATGGATGAACGAAGTCAACTCACCGTGCAGTCACTACAGGGTACATTCTGGGGTAGAGGGGGTTGGATGGGGTCCCCGGACCCGCTGCCTACAGGTCTGTTGAAGTCGTTATGATGTAGTTGCATGAATTATCTCTCGACAAAAACATAATTGCAAAAACTATGTAATGAATCACTGTTTAATACCTCCAAATATTACAGTACAATTAAATAATTATCAATTACAAACTGTATGAACAGAATTTTAGTATATTTTCCTTGTGATGCTCATCGTTAATAATAATAACAACATGTCTGGAAGACTGTACTAAGATGGTGTTAAAGACTCACCTGTAGATGTGCGCCGTCAGGTAAAAGTTGTCCTCCGATAAGTTAGTAAGGTCACCAAGGTCATCGATCACGGCCAGCGAAGAGTTGAGCTCACCACACCTGGGGAGAGGATTGTTTTACACACACACACACACACACACACACACACACACACACACACACACACACATGCACACACACACACACACACACACACACACACACACACACACACACACACACACACACACGATAAGCTTGATATATAGAGTGAAGGAGAGGAGAAGAGTGAAAGTAAGAGAAACATAGATAGAGATATGAACAGATAGAAAGGAAGAGAGATATGGATCAATAGTGAGGAAAAGAGATGGAGAGAGAGAGAGAGAGAGAGAGAGAGAGAGAGAGAGAGAAGGAGGAATAAAAAAAACGAAAGCATAAAAACATAGAAAAAGAGAGATAAGGAGAAAGGAAGAGAGATGAACACAAGAGAGGAAAATGTGGAAAGAGCTCACACTTACTCAGGCGCTACATAATGGTGCTCACACTCACTCAGGCGCTACATAATGGTGCTCACACTCACTCAGGCGCTACATAATGGTGCTCAATCTCACTCAAGCGTCTACATAATGGTGCTCGATCTCACTCAAGCGTCTACATAATGGTGCTCGATCTCACTCAAGCGTCTACATAATGGTGCTCGATCTCACCTGCCAAGTTCATATAATGGTGTTCACTCACCAGGCGCTGAAGCATAATGGTGCTCAATCTCACCTGCTGCCCGGCGATAATGGTGCTCGATCTCACCAAGCGTTCATATAATGGTGCTCACACCACCAGGCGTTACATAATGGTGCCTGCACCCATTCCGCTGCCCATACGAAGTTCGATCTCACTCAAGCGTCAACATAATGGTGCTCAATCTCACTCAAGCGCCAACATAATGGTGCTCAATCTCACTCAAGCGCCTACATAATGGTGCTCAATCTCACTCAAGCTTCAACATAATGGTGCTCAATCTCACTCAAGCGTCTACACAATGGTGCTCAATCTCACTGGGACTCTACATTAACAGCACACACTCACTTCTGCGCCGCTTCTGTTATCCCGAATGTCACCACCTCGCTTCCCTCTTGATAACACTTTGTCATGTTGGTTGATAGTTTAAAGTCGCCAGGACAGACCACTAAAACAAAGAAATAACCCTAAAGTTAAGTATCCCTAAAATAGGCCTGAAATAGTCCTAAATTATTTATTGAATATCCTTATACACCTACCTAAAATATCACGAGTATATACTTTAAATTTCCTTAAAAATATACTGTAAATTTCCCTTAAAATATAATTGAGTCTTCCCTAAAATTTCCCTAATATATCATTGAAATATAACGCATATCTATCTATCTATCTATCTATCTATCTATCTATCTATCTATCTGTCCGTCACTAAGAACTTACACTGGCAGGGTAAGTTTAAGGTTCTTGACCATGATGGCGATTCCCCCTCAGCTCCAGGTAAACACTCTATAACCCCGGAGGTGGTGTAAACTCCTTCAGTTCCTTCCATCATATAGTCGCCGACGCAGGTGTAGTTGATTTTGGTGCCGACGAGACGGGAGATAGGCACATGTCCATACCAGGTTGTGGGAGGGTCTGACTGCCAGCCCAGTTCCATTACGTTATGTAGTGGGCACGCGATTTCTAAGTGGTAATGGGGGTAACGGTGTGAGTGAGACGGGTAACACACACACACACACACACACACACACACACACACACACACACACACACATACACACTTAGGGGAAAGACACTTAGACTTAAAAGCAAATACGTATAAGTGACATGCAGATAATTAAAGACAAGAGAAATATAGTTATGGAAACATGAAGAGAAGGGTAAATGAGAGAGAGAGAGAGAGAGAGAGAGAGAGAAAGTTGGGCAAACACGAGGGGAGGAGAAACAGAGATAAAGTTGGAGTATTCTTAATTATCAACCAAACAAGATACAATCAATCAAACAATATAAAGAAAATAAACAAGTATATAACGTACCCCTGTCGTAAGAGTGGGATCGAACCCTCACATGGATGCCTTGAATCGTCTTAGCAGGTGTCACAGTAGTCAAAGTAGGCCACTCCTTCTTACCGACAAAGGCCTGAAGTAGGAATAACAAGAAGGAATATTAGTGATGATACTGGTGATAATAAGTACAATAATAATGACAATGATAATAACAAAAGATTAACAGTAGACGTAATAATTAGTATACAGTACATAAGACCAGCTGCTCACTGTAAACACACAACGTTGACAGTCACTATAGTACGTTAAGTCACTTCATTCATGATAATAATTTTGTTTTAATGATTATCCCATTAGATTAGTTATTGTTCATTGTACACAGCTCTATTAACCCCTTGAGTACGATGACTTAACCCCTTGAGTACGATGACTTAACCCCTTGAATACGACGAACTAACCCCTTGAATGCGATGACTTAACCCCTTGAGTACGACGACTTAAACTCTTGAGTACGATGATTGAACACGTTGAGTACGATGACTTAACACCTTGAGTATACTGTAGTGTTCCATCATGTTGACTTACCAAATCCAGATTGTCTTTTAATATATCGTAAACAGCATCGTCATTCGGCAGCCACCAAGCAGCAGAATCTTTAGTCAAGAAGTTGAAGTTAAGGCTGGCACTGAATCCATCTCCTGTAAAGACGGGTAATAATAATAATAATAATAATAATAATAATAATAATAATAATAATAATAATGATAATAATAATAATAATAATAATAATAATAATATAATAATAATAATAATAATAATAATAATAATAATAATAATAATAATAATAATGATAATAATAATAATAATAATAATAATAATAATAATAATAATAATAATAATAATAATAATAATAATAATAATAATAATAATAATAATAATAATAATAATAATAATAATAATAATAATAATAATAATAATAATAATAATAATAATAATAATAATAATAATAATAATAATAATAATAATAATAATAATAATAATAATAATAATAATAATAATAATAATAATAATAATAATAATAATAATATAATAATAATAATATAATAATAATAATAATAATAATAATAATAATAATAATAATAATAATAATAATAATAATAATAATAATAATAATAATAATAATAATAATAATAATAATAATAATAATAATAATAATAATAATAATGATAATAATAATAATAATAATAATAATAATAATAATAATAATAATGATGATAATAATAATAATAACCTAACTTAACCAAGCCTGACCTAACCTAACCTAACCTAACCATATGGGATACTTCAGAGTACAAAATTCAGAACATTGTAAATTTCCTTGTAATTAATTTGGTTTTCGACAATGCTGAGTGGCTTTTACCTGTTGTATCTTAGAGGGTAAAGGATAGTGGTGGTGATGGAGGGAGGTTGTGGTGATGATGGAGGAGTAGGGTGGTGATGAAGGGAGGTTGTGGTGGTGATGGAGAAGTAGTGGTGGTGATGGTTGGAGGTTGTGGTGGTGATGGAGGAGTAGTGGTGGTGATGGAGGGAGGTTGTGGTGATGATGGAGGAGTAGTGGTGGTGATGAAGGGAGGTTGTGGTGGTGATGGAGGAGTAGTGGTGGTGATGAAGGAGGTTGTGGTGGTGATGGAGAAGTAGTGGTGATGGTTGGAGGTTGTGGTGTTGATGGAGGGTAGTGGTGGTGATGGTTGGAGGTTGTGGTGATGATGGAGGAGTAGTGGTGTGATGGGAGGTTGTGGTGGTGATGGAGGAGTAGTGGTGATGGAGGAGGTTGTGGTGGTGATGGAGGAGAGGGTGGTGATGAAGGGAGGTTGTGGTGATGATGGAGGAGTAGTGGTGGTGATGAAGGGGAGGTTGTGGTGATGATGGAGGAGTAGTGGTGGTGATGGCTGGAGGTTGTGGTGGTGATGGAGGAGTAGTGGTGGTGATGAAGGGAGGTTGTGGTGATGATGGAGGAGTAGTGGTGGTGATGAAGGGAGGTTGTGGTGGTGATGGAGGAGCAGTGGTGGTGATGAAGGAGGTTGTGGTGGTGATGGAGGAGTAGTGGTGGTGATGGATGGAGGTTGTGGTGTTGATGGAGGAGTAGTGGTGGTGATGATGGGAGGTTGTGGTGATGATGGAGGAATAGTGGTGGTGATGGAGGGAGGAAGGATAGTGTTGGTGATGGAGGAGTAGTGGTGGTGATGAAGGGAGGTTGTGGTGATGATGGAGGAATAGTGGTGGGGATGGAGGTTGTGGTGTTGGATGGAGGAGTAGTGGTGATGGAGGGAGGTTGTGGTGATGATGGAGGAATAGTGGTGGTGATGGAGGAGGAAGGATAGTGTTGGTGATGGAGGAGTAGATGAAGGGAGGTTGTGGTGATGATGGTGGTGAGGGAGGTTGTGGTGGATGGAGGAGAGTGGTGGTGATGGAGGGAGGGATAGTGCTGGTGATGGAGGAGAGGGTGGTGATGAAGGGAGGTTGATGATGGAGGAGAAGTGGTGGTGATGAAGGGAGGTTGTGGTGATGGAGGAGTAGTGGTGGTGATGGAGGGAGTGAAGGATAGTGTTGGTGATGGAGGAGTAGTGGTGGTGATGAAGGAGGTTGTGGTGATGATGGAGGAGTAGCGGTGGTGATGAAGGGAGGTTGTGGTGGTGATGGAGGAGTAGTGGTGGTGATGGAGGAGTGAAGGATAGTGTTGGTGATGGAGGAGTAGTGGTGGTGATGAAGGAGGTTGTGGTGATGATGGAGGAGTAGTGGTGGTGATGGAGGGAGGTTGTGGTGGTGATGGAGGAGTAGCGGTGGTGATGAAGGGAGGTTGTGGTGATGATGGAGGAGTAGTGGTGGTGATGGAGGGGAGTTGTGGTGTTGATGGAGGGGAGTTGTGGTGTTGATTGGATTACTACCGGGAGATGGTTGTGACTGCCTGAGGGTGGTGGTGGTGTTGGCAGAACTGATGGTGGTAGAGGAGGAATGGTGTTAATAGTGGTGGTGGTAATGGTGGTGGTAGAGGAGGAATAGTGGTGGCGGTGGTGGTAGTGGTGGTGGTGGTGGTGGAGATGGTGGAAGTGATGGTGGTAGCAGAGGAATGGTGATAGGAGGGAACTTACCTGCATTCCCGTGGTAATTCCCAACGCTGGTAAGGGTGTAATTGTCTCCTCCGTCCATCAGAAAACGGTCGTACGTGGCGTGGTAGATTTTTCCGTCAGTAGTCTCGATGAGGAACTGATGGTGACGATGGTGATAGTAGTAGTGACGATGGAGGTGGTAGTAGTGACGATGGTGGTTGTAGTAGTGACGATTGTGGTAGCGGTGACGTTGGTGGTGGTAGTGTAGGTAGTTGTAGTGACAATGGTTGAAGGTAGTGGTAGTATATGGGAAGGAATAATGATGATGATGATAAAATATAGGACATTATAACATATCATTCATCAACTCAAGAATATTATGAGACTCGACATACCTGTATAACTAAAGGGCGGCGGTTTGTGCTGTTGACTTGGTTGGTGAGAGCCGCGAGATTGTCCAGTCCTAAGGGTGAAGGAAGGAATGAATGTTCAGATGTTTCTTATATGTAATTTCCTCCGTGAATGAAGGACTTAATCGTTGTCCTAAGAGTTAAAAGGGTTAAACTGTTTTTATTAAATAGTCAAGCTGTTATCCTCAAAGGGTTAATCAGTCGCTTTCAGAGCTTTAATTATCTTCTTTTAAGGGTTAAATCAACGTCTTAAAAGGTTAACTAGAAGCACACTCTGATAAGATTAGATAGGGGATAAGATTAACGTTAACACACAGACACACACACACACATAATATAATAATGGTTGCCCCTCGTGTTCGACGATGACTGGCCCAAGGGCCACCTAGGCGTGGATTTGTTTAAGGTGTAGAAGCTGTCACCAATACAACAACCACACCCTAAGTTAACGAGTTGCATGACCCAGTGTCAAAGAATAGTCCGAGAAGACCAGACAACTCGCCAACTGCACTGGCTAACCATTAACCAGGAACACAATCCCCAAATCGATTACCATCCAGGTTCCCAATTTCTGCGTGGTAGACAGAGGCAAATGGCGTGAAGAAACTTACCCTCAGTTTCACCCTGCCCGAGGATCGAACCCGGGACCACTCGCTTGCGAAGCAAGCATGTTGATCATTACATCACAGGTACACACACACACACACACACACACACACACACACACACCAAATAGATGAAATTCTTAACTATTTCTATGCGGTAGTTATGGAAATTGTAGTTGTCAGTGGAACGCAAATTGTAAAAATTAACTGTACACGGGAAAGGAAACTCTTACCAATACAGTAATCCCCGTCTGCATCAGAAGCTGTTCCGGTGCCAGACTTCGCACAGCTGACACTGGAAGAAACCCTGTAGACGGTCGTCCACACGTCTTCTGTAGTATCAAAATCACACCATACCTGAAGCAGAGAGAAAGAGTAACTGAAAAATAGAGAAACACACACACACACACACACACACACACACACACACACACACACACACACACACACACACACACACACACACACACACACACACACACACACACACACACACACACACACACACACACACACTAATTAGCCAAAGTTCATCATGTTAAGTGGTACTCTGATAAAATGGCACAGGAAAAAATGGCACAATTTTCATACTAGGAAAAAATGGCACAACAAATTTCACTTCGAGCTCACGAACCACAAACGAGCTAACGAGCCTATGTTTGAAGCTATCCAGCGTATTAGAGTTAATGATGATGTTTGGTAACTTGTTATATCACCTTTGTTTAGCTGACTTCCATTTATACACCTCGATCATATCGCCCCTTACTCTTCGTCTCTCGAGGGAGTGCAGATTAAGATGCTTTAACATGTCTCTGTACGCAAGGTTCCTAATGCCCAGGATTAGTCTTGTCATTCTCCTCTGAATTCTTTCAAGGGATTCTATATTCATTCTCTAGTACGGTGACCAGAACTGAACTGCGTAATCCAAGTGAGGTCTCACAAGCTCAAGATATAGTTTTAGGATGACCTCGCTAGTCTTGTAACTAACACTCATTTCTTTCAAAGCTTTCTTTATTTCCTCTACTACCAGGTTGGTTGGGTACAGCCACCCAACTATCTGGCGTTCCATCCAATGGATTCAAGCTGACCATGCCGTTGTATCATCTCACATTATCAAAGAATCTCGTGGTGAGCCACCCAGAAAGCGCCAAAAATTTGTTTACAAGAACCTCCAGACAAGGCTGAAGACCCTCTGCCAGGACCTCCAAGCTGGTCACAAGTCAGTCCAAGAGTTTGTGCAAGGCGCTGGCGATAATATTCGTTGGAAATCTTAAACAATAATATGCAATATGATATTATTAATTTTGTAATTCATTTATGTACGAGTTTTCACTAACATACGGTAGAATGTTTTAGTTAAAGGTAATAAATGTTTTATGTTATGACGTTGATATATCTCTTAAGTAAGTTTCAGTAACAAAGGTTATAAAATTTTAGCGAAAACATGTCAATAAAAATTAATGTGCCATTTTTTCCTAGTCTGATGATTATGCCTTTTTTTCCGGTGCCATTTTTTCTGTGCCGTGTTTTCCTGCATTCTGTGAGGTGCGTGTAAGTCAGGATTGTTCAGTTAGGTGCAATACGTTTTTGAACACTTGAGTCGAGTTGCGGATTTAGGTTTTTTTATCACAAGTTTACTAATCATCATAATTAACTTGACATCAACTTATTTACTAATTATCATAATTAACGTGACATCAACTTATTTACTAATTATCATAATTAACTTGACATCAACTTATTTACTAATCATCATAATTAACTTGACATCAACTTATTTACTAATCATCATAATTAACTTGACATCAACTTATTTACTAATTATCATAATTAACTTGACATCAACTTATTTACTAATCATCATAATCAACTTATCAACTTATTTACTAATTATCATAATCAACTTGACATCTAATTGTACACGTATTATGCTATTCAATTTAATGACTACCTGAATGCTAATTAGCAGAATTAATACTTACTTCTGTTTTACTTTGATGTGGGTCGCCTGAGGGCATCACATTGTACGTTTCATTTTGGTCGAATCCAAAATTAGCGATATCGGTGCAGTCACGGGGCACGGGGCAGTCTGAAAGGGTGAAGGATAGACAGACAGACAAACACACGTGCTTTACTTTCCCGCAGACAGAAGCTTATACCTTCATTTGATTTTGGTAATAGGGACGTTGTAATACAGTATTTTCTCCCTCTCCTTTTCCCTCTCATTCACATGTACCTTCCTTCGCTATATAACTTCCCTCGCCTTCATGACAACACATCCCCAACACTGACACGTCCACCTAAGGACTCACCTTCATCACACTTGTCCAGTATAGGTGTCCACTGCCCATTAGAACATTCCGTCAAATGACCAGGACGTCCTGATAACCAATTCATCCCTGTGTTACATTTGTAGTAATTGGCATAGACGACGCTGCTAGTGTCAGTAATGGTTTCCGCGACGCGGGCGTTTTCAGGGGTTTCGGCGTTCGTACCACAGGCTTCAGTCGTCACCGCGGAAGCTGAAACAGGAGGAGGGTAGTAGGGAGGTGGAAAGAGAGAGAGAAATTGAGTGATGTGATGTGGTTCTTGAGAGGGAGATGTAATAGGCTACTGTCTGTTCCAGGGATATAAAATCAGTTAAAACCTTTGCTATACTTCTCTCCTTCTCTCTGTCTAACTAGCTATCTCTAACTGGCACTTACATGGAGTTTGACAGGGAATCTCCACCTCATTAGGTTCCCACTGATCATTGTAGCAGAAGGCCAGCACGGCGCGCATGAACAAATTTCCACTGGGGAAGGTTTTGTTCGTGTCTGCACACGTGAGAGCAACCACCCCATTTTCCAAGACTTTCTTGCTACTGTGGAGGTGATCCGTGCAATTTGCGTCAACCACGACGCCACCTTTGAGAGAAAATAATACAGCGGTTATGTAGTGGTAACATAGTGATAGTCTATTGGTAATTCATTGATGTCATAGCAATACAGGGATGATACAGTGATGTAATGGTGATACAGTTATATGGGGGTGATACAGTGTTTTAGTGGTGATACAGTGATGTAATGGTGATACAGTTATATAATAATAATAATAATAATAATAATTGACGGTTTATTGAAAAAATTCTGCAGCCCGAAGGCTGAAAATATACATTGGACATAAATGACATATTACATACATTGGTGGTTTAACAAAAACAGTGAACATACAGATTAATGTAGGTGTTGAACAGCAAACTCGTAGTGTAGTAACTCCCTCCCAGATGGTGTTAGGAGGAACTCACGTGGTGTAGTAGTTCCCTCAGATGTTGTTATGAGAGACCTGGCGTGGTGTAGTAATTCCCTCGCTGATGGTGATATGAGGGGCCTCACGTGGTGTAGTAATTCCCTCACAGATGGTATTATGGGGGACCTCACGTGGTGTAGTAATTACCTCACAGATGGTGTTATGAGGGACCTCACGTGGTGTAGTAATTACCTCACAGATGGTGTTATGAGGGGCCTCACGTGGTGTAGTAACTCCCTCACAGATGGTGTTATGAGGGGCATCACGTGGTGTAGTAATTCCCTCACAGATGGTGTGATGAGGGACTTGTGGTGTAGTAATTCCCTCACAGATGGTGTTATATGAGTGAGGTTTTGTCCCAGGCCTTCCTATCGTAGACGGATTAACACATCGCTGGTTGTTGTTGGGTGTCACGGGCCGTTATCACTGGGTACCTGGGACCTCACTGTGTGAAGGTTAACTTGGGTACGACTGTTACTGTTGAGTTGTTCTCACTGACTTAAGCGCTGTTCACCACTGTTCACCTCTGTTTAACACTGGTTCCGTTTCTTTCATAAATGAAATTGTAACTTCTGGCGAGAACTTGTTGATATTCCGGTGGGGAGGAGGGTTCAGGGGAGGGGGTTGGTATGGGCCAACTTAACAGTTGACCTGGCTGCTCCGAGAGGAGCGCCAGGTACGTCTTGACCCTTCGGTGGTCAAGGAGTGATAGGTGATACAGTAGTGTAGGGGTGATACAGTGATGTAATGGTGATACAGTGTTGTAGGGGTGATACAGTGATGTAATGGTGATAGAGTAATATGGGGGTGATACAGTGTTGTAGGGGTGATAGAGTGTTGTAGGGGTGATACAGTGATGTAATGGTGATAGAGTAATATGGGAGTGATACAGTGTTGTAATGGTGATAGAGTAATATGGGGGTGATACAGTGTTGTAGGGGTGATACAGTGTTGTAGGGGTGATACAGTGGTGTAATGGTGATAGAGTAATATGGGGGTGATACAATGATGTAATGATGATACAGTTATATAGGAGTAATACAGTGTTGTAGGGGTGATACAGTGTTGTAGGGGTGATACAGTGATGTAGGGGTGATACAGTGATGTACGGGTGATACAGTGATGAACCAAACAGAAATAATAGTATTAAACGACATGGATTTTATAGTATGTGTGTGTGTGTGTGTGTGTGTGTGTGTGTGTGTGTGTGTGTGTGTGTGTGTGTGTGATAGAAAGAAAATAGGAAGAAAGCTAGAGAAGGGGACAGAGAGAGAAAGAGACACACAGAAATACAAGGATATAGAGTGAGACAGTCGATAATAACAAAGAAACGAGGAGAAAGAGAGGAAGGGAGACTAATAGAACTGTAACTCATACGTAATCTGTACCTACATTATACAATAAATCTGACCGTTTCCTTTACATCTAAATACGATCCCGTACATACACGTAAATCTGTACCTTTTTTCGTAAATCCGAATAATTATTTCTAGAACTAAATCTGAATTACGAAAAAAAAATCTTAAAAACACACGCACTGGCAACGTCTCACTTCAGTGTTGCCACATCCAGGTCACAACACTTGCTTCGTAAAATATAATAATTATTCTTTTGATTTATCGCTGGCATTATTTTATACTTCCAGTTGCTTGTTATCATTTATTAGTGTTTTCTTGTGGTTTACGTCCCTTAATAAATAGTAAAGTAGAAAACCAATAGTGGTTTATACATAAGAACATAAGAAAACAAGGAGTCTGCAATAGGCCGGTTGGTCTGTGCATGGCAGCTCCTGTCGAGAGTTACTACCACTCTCTATCATCCATGAATCTATCTAGCCTCCGTTTAAAACTTCCCAGCGTCCCAGCACTTACTGCAAAGTTGCTAAGTTTGTTCCACTCATCTACCACTCTATTTGTAAACCAGTTTTTTCCTATCTCCCTCCTAAACTTAAACTTATCCAACTTGAATCCGTTGCTCCGAGCCCTACCTTGCTCGGATATTATAAGAACTTTATCTATATCTCCTTTATTGATTCCTTTCACCCACTTAAATACTTCTATCATATCTCCCCGCACTCTTCGTCTTTCTAGGGAATGCAAGTTTAGTTTCTTTAATCTATCTTGATAGGGAAGGCTTCTAAGTCCCGGAATCATTTTCGTCATTCTTCGCTGCACCGACTCCAGGGAATTGATATCCATTCTATAATAAGGGCACCAGAACTGAACAGCATAATCGAGGTGCGGCCTGACTAACGCAAGATATAATTGCAAGATGACCTCCGCACTCTTATTACTTACACTTCTAGATATAAAACCCAATACTCTGTTTGCCTTATTTCGAACATTAACGCACTGTTTTCTAGGCCGTAGATCCGGGCTTACAAGTACCCCTAGGTCTCTTTCACAAGTCGACTTCTCTAGGTTGATGTTGTTAAGGCTGTATACATTGACAGTATTTGTTCTTCCAATATTAAGTGCGCTGCACTTACTGGTGTTGAATTTCATTTGCCATTTTTCTGACCACTCCTGCAGTTTATTTAGATCCTCCTGTAGTGCATTTGCATCCTGCCCTGAATTAATCTACCGCCTTATTTTGGTGTACCTGTAATCCGCAAACTTGCTAATGTCACTGCTGATCCCAGTATCTAGATCGTTTATGTATATTAGGAACAAGAGTGGACCCAGTACTGACTCCTGGGGAACCCCACTAGTTACACAGCCCCACTCTGATTTAAAACCGTCTACGCTGACCCTCTGTGTTCTATCGGTGAGCCATGATTTTATCCAATTTAAATCTTTCCTCTCGATACCATGATCCTTAACTTTTCTCAGAAGCCTCTGATGCGGTACTCTGTCAAACGCTTTGCTAAAGTCTAAGTAAATAACATCGTAATTTTCGTCATTATATACAACCTCATAGACTTTCCTAAAAAGGTCAGCAGATTTGTTAGACAAGATTTTCCCTTTGTAAATCCATGTTGAGAGTCGTAGATTAATTAGTTTTCCTCTAAATGTGATCGGGTGCGATTTACTATAATTGATTCAAGAAATTTCCCCACTACTGACGTCAAACTAATCGGACGGTAATTTGACGCTGATGGTCTGTCTCCCATTTTTAATATGGGTACTAGATTTGCCTGTCTCCACAAGTCTGGCACAACTCCAGTGTCTAATGAATTTGTAAATAAATTTTCGAGGGGTAGCTAATTTGTTCCTTACACTCTTTCAAAACTCGATGGAAAATTTCATCCGGCCCTGGGGATTTTGTCTTCTTTAATTTATTTATCTTCTTAAGAACATCATCTGTTCTGATAGTGATATCATTTAGTTTCTATTCTTCATTTCCCCTAAATATCAGTTCCACCTCTGGCATTTCCTCTTTAATTTCTTCTGTGAAAACTAATAAGACGTAGCTGTTTAGTGCTTTACTTATTTCCCATTATCATCCATCACTTCCCCTCTCTCTGACTTTAAACGCCTCACTTTGTCCTTGACCTTTGTCCTATGTACCTGGAAAATCCCTCGGGATTCGCCTTGGATTCTCTTGCTATCCTGATTTCGTAGTCCTTTAGGATACTGCTCATTGTATTATAAAATGTGTAAGGCTATTTTATGACACCGTACTCTAGCTGACTGACGCATTGTTGTTATTATTAATAATAATAAAAACGATAACAAGAGTGATATAGTGTATTTATTATCATTGTTGCTACTGTTATGCCATCAGAATTATAATGCTTATAATAATAATAATAATAATAATAATAATAATAATAATAATAATAATAATAATAATTATTATTATTATTATTATTAATCAAACTGGTTGTTAATAAGGGACGTGAAATCAACCAGTAGCGGGAGTCACAGTTACCAGGGTCAGATGTTTGTGACCTGAACTGACCTGACTTGGCCTCACGTCACGCTGTGGTAATAATCCTGCCTTTACTATTGTGTATGTAAAATCGCTTTCATTCAATCCCCGAGTTGACAATCCACAGTTGATGTTAATTAACCAATGGCAGGGTCAGTGGCCCACAGATGAGGCCAGTTTAGCCAGTCACGAGGTCAACAGTTCAAAGTTGAGATCAGCCTAGCCAATCGTAAGCTTGACAATTCTTGGGAGAGGTCGAGTTGCCAAATCTTGGGTCACTTGGTGTGAGAGGTGGCAGGGATGGTTAGTACAACATCTGATCAGTCTAACACTGCAGTAGCACCCATGATGGTCCTCTCTGTGTTGTGGTGGATAGTGGCGGGTGTTGTGTTATGTGGCGGCCTCTACCACCACCACCCTGATGCATCTGTGAGAGACCGCGTTCTTGCCCCTGATACACCTGTGAGAGACCACGTGCTTGCCCCTAATACACCTGTGAGAGACCACGTTCTTGCCTTGGGTACAACCGTGAGAGGCCAAGTCATTGCCCCTGATACACCTGTGATATCTTCCCTAGTCTCCAGCTTCGTCAACACCCAGGGTCCCTCACCCCTCTCCTACCCCCAGTGGTACCAGTCTCCTCGTTTGGTCGCCCACGGTACCAAACTCCTCAGTGATTCGGGCGAGGGTATGATAATTGTTGTACCTCGACTCCCACGTAGTGTGTTCCCCGAGTCTCCAACCA